TAAAATGTGCGTATACATGCCGGCACGCACCCAGCCATGAGGAGAGACTCTGACACCTCCAACAACACAGCCACAACTGGGGGACGTGGCGCCGGGTGGACCGAGCCAGACACGGAGGGACACACACTGCGTGGTTCCACGTGTCGGAGGTCCCAGAGCAGAATGGGGGGTGCCGGGGGCCGGGACGCTGGGGTTCCACAGGGACGGAGCTTCAGTTTGGGGAGATGAGAATGTTCCAGACACAGACGGTGGCAGGGGCTGCACATAAACGTGAGTGTCCTTTGTGCCACCAAAACACACACTCAAATGTGGTTAATGTGACAAATTTTGTCGTGTATGTTTTACCAGGATAAGAAATGACCGCGTTAACTTTACTCACTTCATTTGCTAGAAATGTCTCGAGTCACCATCAACATGATACTGGGTGTTAACTAGCACTCCTAGCTTCAGTGCTTGGCTGAAGGGAACGTGTCCCAGTTCCGCGAGTGCGGGATATCGCGGGGACTGCCCTGCCTCCCTGCAGCCGCATGGGGGGGGGGAGGGAGGGGCAAGGACAACGCTGCCCAGATCCTCCCTTCCTCTTAGCGCCACCAAGCTTCAGACTCAGGCCAGCGGATCTCCAAAGAGAAGTCTACTTCCTTCCTAGGTGAGTCCTCATTCAAGACCTTCTTCGCAATCGAGTGGGTCTTGGTGAAACAGGGTGGCCTAGCCAGTTCTCACCACACCCTTCCCAAGGTCCTGCAAGGTCCCTGGCCACCGCTGCAGGCCCGGCAGCTGGCCCATACCCACAGCACGCCCAGGGTGCCACCACAGCAGGGCCAAGATGATGAAGCGTGACAGACCGAGGGGACGTCTGACTGGCAGTCGTGCCCGGTGGCCTGGCACCAGCGAGGGGCAAGATGATAGAGCCAGGCCGTGTCAGGCACCACTGACCCCACTGCCTTCCCACCGCCCTCACGGGGACCACAGCGGTGTGTGCTGGCAAGCTCACGCTCCAGACACGGAAGGTGCTTCCAAAACTCTCTGCCGACGGGACACAATACAAGTCCATTTGCAGCTGACCCCAGGCTGGCCTCTTGACAACGTCCACCCCGTGCGGGACTCGATCGGCAATACCCCATGGCAGGCGGGGCCGGCCTGGCAGGAGGGCAGGGCTTTCACACAGGGAGGGGGACACAGGGAGGTGCACGTGGGGACCTAAATGTCTTCTCGATGCCCCAGGCCTGCAGAAGTGGCCCATCCCCACTTGTCGGAAGACAGACAACCCCCGCCCCGCCCCACACACACATGCACACACAGGCATGTACACACCCCTTGCTGGGCAACGACACTCAGGCCTCAAATGGGATGGGCACGTTTCACGACCCTTCACCCTCTCCGGGGTCTGGCCTCAGTCAGATCTCAACAGAACACGTCTGGAGACTGAACACTGACGGGCTATGGGCCTCTCCCCACGGCACAAACGCCACTGGTCCGGCTGTCAGCAGCTCAGCAAGAGTGAGGGCCGCACTCAATAAAGGCGACATTGCACTGTGGCTGTGGTGGCCAGGGCCCCCCGTGTAAGAGGGACCCCCAGGCTGCTGCTATCCCCGCCCCTTGGGAGGGCCAGATGGACACCCAGCTTTAGAAGGTACACTGGAATGGAGGAAGCGGCACCACGAGGGGCTCCGTGAAGGTGCAGGTGACCACATGAGACACCCCGGAGCGAGGGGACGACGGGACTCAGGGAGCAGAGTCAGACGGCACCAAGCAGCCGGGGATATAAAGCCAGGGCACCACCTAGCGCGCATGCACAGCACACAGACACGGACCACACAGAGGACGTGAGCCGCTTCCAGACCAGAAGCGGGGCCAGAGGAGACGCAGTCCCAGGAGAAGGCACCCACAGTACAGGCAGACTCGACGCACCCCAGGGCGCCCCGGGGCACCCTGGGGAACGGGAAACCCTTCACAGGTTTGGAAAGGCAGGTCTGGGACAACGCGCAGGGGCCGGGCCCAGGTGAGCACAGGGCGCGACCTCAGGGTCCAGACCCACGTCCCCTGTACCGCGGGCAAGCAGGAGCTGCTGGCACACAAACGGCCGCGCGGAAGCCCCTGGAATTCATCCCACAGCTGTCCCTGGCCACAGTACCAAAGCAAGAACAGGTCGCTGCCACTCGCAAAAGCAGAGAAGTGCTGCCCTCCAGGCCCTACATGGCTCCAGGATACCGGGCCCCGCCTTGTGCCCAGCTCCTGCAAAACCACTGGTGCCTGGTACGTGGCTATGGCCGTGGCCCGCACAAGTGAACCGGACAGACTCTCTGTGAGAGCTGAGCCCAGCTCAGCACCAGCTGGCAGCTGCTCTTTGGGCAAACACATCCCATGCCCAAGCACGATCACGGTCTTACCGCAGAGCCCCAGGACCCCATAGACGCACGGGGCTCCCCTTAGCTCACCCTATGGCCTCGCGATGCCCGCATGGAGCTGACGGAAAGCGGAGGCTCTAGCTTGGCTCAAGTATCCGGGAACATGCCAGCACACAGCAGTCCTCATCACGGCAGCAGACTCTGTGGTCCCAAAAGGCGCCGTCCCGCGAGGGAGCCAAGTCAGCCCTGGCATGTGGCCCAGGGACAGGTTCGTGTCAGCCGGCCCTGCCCGTTCCAAGTGACATTTCGTACATACAAGTGCGGGCTCGGGCTGTGGCTCCCTCGGAAAACTGAGCCAGCCCCTCGTCCCTTCACAAAGGAAGTTGTCCCCTTCATTCTTCCCGGGAGACACCGTGTGGAACTGGTGTCGATTCTCCAAACGCCGGAGAGAGCGCTCCAGGGAGAGCACGGGGGCCTGGAGGCTTCTGGATGGAAGGTTCTGGATGGGCCACTGAGCACAGTCACTAGCTACAGCGCGATTCAAACCACCCTGTCCTCCTGCTACATGTGGCGAGGCTCAAGGAGGCGGTCCACCTGCTGGCCGCCATCTTTTCCACCTTGACCCTGGGCCCCGTGGCTGCTGTCCTCCGTTCTCCCTGTGGACAACATGGTCCTCCCCGTCCCTGCTCATCAGAAGTTCCCTGATGATGTGTGGGTGTGAACCACTCGTGCTGTGCTAGGCTTCTCAAATCTCTAGGTTTGTCTTTTGCCCCAAACAGCTTCTCGGCGCCCCCTCCAGAACTCTAACGACACCCACACTGGGAGTGTGCTCTGGTCCCACGGCGGCCGTCCAGGGTGCTCCTCTTTCCCACTGGGCAATGAAGGACACTCTGGCTCCCCCAGGGCCCCCAGACACCCTAGTGTCCCCCGGGTTCATCGGAGGCGAAAGTCCCTGTTCCCAGGGAGGGCGCGGGCCCCCATTCACCCTTGTTCGGTGGCGGGGCAGAGCTGGGGCCTCAGGCTTTCCCACCATGTTTGTTCTTAGATATTGTCTGTCCTGCTAGACCATCGCCTTCCTGGTCTTCAGGCCATAGGGAGCGGCTTCTGTTGGGGTGTGTCCGCACCCGTGGGTATCTCTGGGTTGCCAGCCTCTTCGGCTCCAAGCCTGGGATTCAGGTGGAGAGAGAGATAACCAGGGGCCTCCTGTCGGGCCCACAGGCCCCTTGGGCTCTGCCCTCTGCCAACCTTGCAGAGCTTTCTTACTGTCACTGCACGGATGATGCCCAGGACTTCAGTCGTCATGGTAAGAGGGACAAGGACATGCGGCAGAAATCCCCAACCTTACTCTGTGGTTTAATGCAGGCCACCTTCCCCAGCACCTGCTCTGCCCTCCTCACGTGGCTCCGATTCTTCCCAGTTCTTCCTGCAACCACACAAAACCAGCCTGTCCCTTGTTCCGGTGCTGCTGCAACCAGTCCACACACTCTCACAGGGGTCTGGGCTCCTGCCTGGGCTGGAGCCTAGGCTCTGGGCCCACATCTCCACCCTCACACTGTGTCCCCTCCCAACGGGGGCCCGTGTCCCACGAGGTCACACTGGTGGCTGGCACGGGTCCCACCTCATGGTCCGGAGGCCACCTCTCCTCCACCACACCTGATGGGCCTTCTGGACCGACCTCTCATCTCCTCTGGCTCCCATTCCATCTCCTGTTGACAAACTTCCTATCTCTTCATCTTCCCATTATTCTTTCCTGGTGCCTCTCCTGATTTTTGTCCACAAGACACACACTGACATCCTTTTGTCCCAAAGGCTCTGGTCTTCAGCCCTTTATTTAAAAGTGGATCCTGTCGCCTCACAGTTCGCAGTATCTCCTCTTACCTCTTCTAGAACATTCCGCTTTCCCACTGTGTCCTGCACGGCTGCTGTCACATCCACGTTTGCTTGTGCCTGTCTCGGGCTCCATCTTGAGGTCACCTTTCCTCGAATGTATACGAACCTCAGAGCCCCTGACAGAAGCCGTGCATGGGCGGCGGGGTGGTAACCGGGTCAGCACGCAGACAGCAGGCCGCGGGGACGCACCTTCCACTCTGTGCATAGGCCGGCTTGACTCCCCGTCTTCACTCTGGGTCGCCCAAACCCTCCTCCATGCCAGGTGTCCCCACATCTGAGCCTCCCCAGTCCCATGTGTCTGCTGGGGACACTGCCCACCTCCCTGGTCACCTGACGGCCCGGCCAGAGTGGAACCCCCTCTAGGGACACACGTTGGCCCAAGGCCTTTCTGACCTGGGGGTCAGGCTGGACCGCCATGCATCCCCTCCGCACACTGTGCTCCCTCTCTGAGCACGGGGGCCATGGTCCTGGAGGAGCCCCCTCCACACCTCCCTGACCTTGAGGCCACGGCCCCCCTGTGGCTTGTGTCCACCCGGCGAGCACGGGATTTGACAAGGTTCAGGCAGTGACCATGACACACAGAACACGCATGCCCGCCCGCCCTCAAGAGAAAGGAGGCGGCTGCTCTGGTGGAAAGAGCCGGAAATGGGGCCGGAAGGCAGGAGGCTGGAGCATGGGCACAGTCCCCACAGGCCACCGAGGCGGGACAGCAGGCAGAGCAGCGTGGTGTGAGCGCTGGGCAGCACGTCCTGTGGCCAGACTTACCTTCACCTCCTTCTCGATGTAGTCGCTCAGCAGTCTGTCAGGCTCCACGCGCTCAGGCAGGGACAGAGCCACAGTGTGCAGAGGGCGCCTCTCTGTCACCTTCTCATGGGCTTTCTTATCTCTACTCTTTTCACCTTTTAGGAATACTCGTTTAAACGGCGACACAATCCCGGGCTGCGGGCAGAAACGGCAAGGATTGGAGTTCGTTATTCCTGAAGGTTTTGCGTTGCCCCCACGGCTAACAAGCTGAAGCCACCAAGCATGGTCCCCACGCATAGGGGCCACCCTCGTGGGCCTGGAATGCACAGGCCGAGGGCCAGTGCACACCGGGGTGGGGGCCCATCCCTCACCCGCTCACAGACACGCAGGTGCACAGGGGGGCCATCCCTCATCCATCACAGACACGCAGGTGCACGCAGGCCCGTCCCTTACCCGCTCACAGACACCCAGAAGGACAAGGGCCCATTGTCCAGGCAAGTGACCTCATGGCTAAGAAGAGAACGGGAAGGGGGCCCCCCAGAAGACAGGAATGTAGTGCCACCCAACCCCCTGACACCAGCAGGTCACTTCACCCCAGGACCCCGAGCAGGTGTCATGGCCTCACAAAGGCTGCAGCACAACAGCCCCATGCCCGCCCTCCTCTTCTCGACACGTGCACTCTGCGTTCCCTTCCCTCGTCCAGGGCCTCGCTGACCCCGGGTACTGACCAGCACGGGGCGACCCACACGCCGATCGGGGTCTCCCCTGGAGCCCAACCCTACGACCGAAGTCAACCCACAGAGCATGAGCAAGGGGGGTGCGGCCAACAAGTCAGCCTGACCTGGCAGCCCCAGGAACAGGCCTGGGGTTCCCTCCATGTGACTCTGCAGGAAAGCCCCTCAACGCCTAGGCACAGATGCTCACACAGTCACTGTGTCCAGCCAGCCCGAAGAAACGCAAACCAGAGAAAACCCACGCACAGCCTCACTGGGAAGCAACGTCCCATCAGTCCGAGAGGGCAACTCGCCAGCCTATGCAGCCTGGTGCCCAAATGCAGCTGGGACCCAAGGCCCAGCCTAGACCTACACTCACGGAAACACCTGGAGGCCGACGCCACAGAACATTCCTCACAAGCTCTTGCTTCTGTGTCCCCTGTGCACGGGATAGGGCCGTAGGACAAATCCCACACAAATCCCACCACCATGACCTCTGAAGCTGTGAGGCTCCTCCCCAGCCTGTCAGCCTCACGGGCAAAGGTGAAGAGGGGCAAGGACCACCCCCCAGCAAAGGCAGGCAAGGCGTCGGTGCCTCTCAGCACACCTGCACCCACCAGCACATTCTGCTATGCAGCCTCACCCCCTTCCTGGAGCACCTCCCCCTTGCCCTGGAGCACTCCCTCCCTGCCCTGGAGCACCTACTCCTACCCCGGAGCACCCCCTCCTCCCCGGGAGCACCTCCCCCTCCCCT